ATGATAACAATGTTGTGCGAGTTTATAATCTTACTCACACGTTAGATTCGGAAATTTGACTTGACGATCAAGCCCGACAAAGGTCGTTGAAGCATTGAGAATATGAGTTTGTATGGAATTCTCGAGGATGTGACACGACAAGGTCATTTATTCTTTGAAATATAATACAAACGTGCTTTTAGTGTTCCATTGTTGTTAGAAAAAGGGAGAGAGGGGCCTACTTAACACTATCACATGGACTGAATACCACAGATTCAGATGTCAGTCATTTGTGAACATCGACATGTTATAGCTGTCTAGGGACTTACCTAGCTGTATACTGAGCCAGGTTTAGCCTAGCCATGGACTGTCCAAGCTTGTCTTGGTATCATGAAAGAGCCTGAAATTGTTTGAGCTTGAGTCATTGACAATTTTGGCTGAGTTCAATAAGATTTCCACAAGTTAAAACTCAGTTGAGCTCGGGTATATTGGTAAATTGAAACTGTATTCTTTACATATGAGTTTAACAAGTCCAATTTAAATAAATGTATGAGCATGGCTTTCTTTGTAGCCAAGTTCATCATGCTTTAAACAAGCGTTAGCCAAGCCAGTTTTGAGCTTCCTGGGCCTATTTACAGCCCCACTTCCTTGACTCTCGTATCATGGAATAGTTGGATATTGTGTCTATGGATTTTACAACTTCTTAATTGTTGGACCTTCTAATTCTCTTAATGGCGTGCCTCCATCTGTTGTAGAATAAGTCATCAAGATGATGCTGCTGAATATATATCTGACAGTATGTGAATACTTCAAAAGGATCCATCAGTAATGTATGAGAATAATAGTCATTGCAGTTTCACTTTCTTTCTCTTCATCTTTTGTGTTTAGTTTCAAACGGACATTACTGTACAAGAGGAGTATGAATTATTACTCTGCTGTCTTCTTTTGTAAATCAGACATTGTCAACTTACCAGCAACTAATGGGTTGCAATGAAACAAGTAAGACAAGTTCAGTTACCAAAAATTGTACTGCGACGGACCTAATCTTAATTACAGAGTAAATGGGACCTGTTCTGGGTACATGATCTGCTATAGTTTGGTTGGATTTGTATAATTTTTTTATCTGTGGTCTGACTTCTTAATCCACCACATTTAACAAGTCTTGATCATATCAGATTTTGGTTGGACTTGTATAATTTTTGTGCATGGTCTGACTTCTTTATCCACCATCTGTAATAAGTCTTGATCATATCGGATATTTGATCTTTTTAGGTATCGTATGTAATAGAACTGTTTATATTTGCCCACATTAATGGAAATAAATGTGTATCGTTTATGTTTTCTGGAAATCTACTGAGACGTGAGATTTCCTGGATGTTGTGCTCACATAGAGCACACATCTTTCTTAAAGGACCTTCTAGAAATTGGGAGTCCATGTCATTTAACATTAGTTTTTCGTTATATGTAATTTTTTCTGCTTTGTTCTAGAAGATAAAAATGCATGGCTCTTCTGCTTGTTCCGATAATCATTCTTGGAAGAGTCTCCTGTTACGGTAAGGTGTCTGAGAGATTAAAACTTCATTGTAAGAAGAAAATGATTTGGTCTAGTAAATGCTCCCCAAAGTGTTGGAACTTATGGAGTGATCCTTATTAAAGAAATCATCTTGTCATTTCAGTTTGCCCTATCTTTTACCATAACTAGGTTGTTTTCACGAGCGATTGGAACCAGATACTCTCTATTGTTTATCATAATGAGCTGGAATTACCTTATCTTTTGAACTTTCTTTCAATGACTCTAAAGACTGGTCACTGACTATTCATGGTCTTTTCTGTCACAGGTTTGAGTTTGCTAACTTTTCTTGGATGATTTTAGACTTTCAGTTCTATAACAAATAAATAATAAGTAACATGGCTTGAAATTTTTAGTTAATTCTGATTACATCTGATGCAGGCCTTTCGCGCACATGGCACACTGGAGCAGCACACAGTTCACTGGCCATAGCCATTTACATCCTGAACCTTTCATCTATTGTGGGAGTGTACCAAATTTTCCTCAACCTCATGTCCAATCGGTGATCCCTGATCCTGGAAACGTTTCCAATTTTAATCTTTACCGTACTCCAGAACCGCATGGCAGCTCTCTATTCTATTCAATGACATATTACAATGGTGCTCAACACCAGCATCCAGTCTCGAATCTTAATGTAGCTGTTGCTGCATCAACTATTCTGTACTATCCACATATCGCCCCTCTATCTGGTATTAGTGATATTTCTGTTCCTGTAAATCACGGGGCACATAATCAGTTGTCTCATGCAAGCACTCACAGAATCAGTAGTATTCCTACAGTCAGCTATGGGAGCAACATTGCATATATGGATGGTGTCAGAGGTTCACTTAACAGAAAGAATTGTGAAGAGATTCCTGTAAATTACCAGCATCACAATGCTTCAGTAGGCTCTAGCTCCTCTGTTGCTCCTACGGCTGCCAGGCCAGCAGAACAAGATATTGCTTCAATGAATGGTCCATCTTTTCAACCACCTGAGCTTGGAGCGGATGAATCGATGACATCAATAGTGGAAAATGAATTTCAGAGGAGTTCGAGGAACAGATCTAATATGATCCTACCTGAATTTGTC